TGTTGAATTGTATCATCGTTAATTATGCATTTACAGACTATGTGACAACGAACGAATGCATTTACGTATTTAGTGCAATGTAATGTAGATTTGATTTGCAAATAATTGACGTTAACCTCCGATAATTATGTGTAAAATGTTATTCCGTTTTGGGGTTTCGTATGAATTTCATTGCAAGCAATTACGAATACGTGAATTTAATTTACGAAATGGCGAATGTCAATGCCACAAAGGAGGATGGATCTTGTAAAAAGATTCGTTTTATTTGCAGTACACAGTGTTCTGTTTGTTTTTAATTGAGGGAGCAATATTTCACGTATATCGATTAGTATATATATATAATAATTTTATATATATTATTGTATGTTAATTTTATATATATTAATGTATATTAATTTTATATATTATTGTATATTAATTTCAATATACAATTGTTAACGTATATTAATTTTAATACACAATTATTAATGTATATTAACAGTTGAAATTTCAAACACATTTACTATTGAAAGATTAATTATTGCAGTCATTGTAAACATGTTAGTTGATGCTTAAATGAAGTAACGTTGATATTGACCAGGGTTACTTCAACTACGTTTTTGTCGCTAACATTTTTATTAAATAATACTATACATACATACATAGAACAATGACTGACATTTTGCGATACTTCATTCACCTACGGGAAACGGAATATCTTTCAGCAGACATCAAATACAAAGGTAGTTGCATAATTGGCTAATGAGTTATAGCTTCATCAACTAATAATTGGCAAGTTAGAATTAATTACGCTGTGGAACCGTGAGAGCGAATAATCACAAAACTTTCCTTTCTGTCATTGCAAACTGTCAGGGGATATCGATTACGATACTGTTACACCTTGGATTGTTAATTAGAGAGTCAAACATTGAAAATGCACGAACCAGGGAATTCTCTAATTACAGTGAAATTACATTTATCGATTAATTACCGATGCTAGGAAATGAATGTGCCGACAAGGCAATTTATCGAATCATTCGAAAAAGTGCATTCGAACTTCCTTGAAACGAAGCAACTGATCTTGTTTATGAGCAACATCGTTGCTCAGAAAATATGTAGTTCGCGACTAATTAAACATTATATCTTCAGTTAGTTTGCGAACTTGTAACACGTACTTCTTACTCAGTTCTGGAACTTGCTTGGCTTCTCGTATAGTACAGTATTAAATAAGATATTACTGTACTTACCACATTTAATCTTAACTTCGCGTAATTATGCATGTAACCAGGGATTTCTTGCACGTCTGCTTCGAGGAGTTAGAAGTTACAAGTTGCTGACCACGTTAATTTTGGACGCCTGGTTTCAATGGGTGATTAATCATAAATAGCAGATAAGCAAAATCTGACTAAACTAGCGTCCGACGTTCAAAATTTGGTTGGATTGAAGTCTAAGTTGTTCGATGATAGTCGTTGAGACTGCAACGTTGCTCCAATGATAGTCAAGGATATTCTAAAGATATCGAATGGTGCTCAATTATACTCAATGAAGCTTGGGGACACTTGAAAAATAGTATAACATTTTCAAAACTGGAGGCTTCGATAAAAAGATGAAAAGCATGAATTTCTTATTTCTTTTTGTCACTCCAAGTAATAGGAAAATTTACAAAAAGTACAATAGTCATTGTTCTAGTAGACCAGTCTCTTCATCAGCTGACACTCAATGATACGGTATAACAATTTCAAAACTAAAGGCTCCGATAAAAAGTTGAAAAGCATGAATTCTTTATTTCTTTTTGTCATTGCAAATAATAGCAAAATTTTAAAAAATTACAATAGTTTTAGTGGACTAGTCTCTCCATCAGCTGACACTCAATGATACTCAATGATGCTTAGGGACACTTAAAAACCCATATAACAATTTCAAAACTAAAGGCTCCGATAAAAACTTGAAAAACAAGAACATTTTATTCCTTTTTGTCGTTCCAAATAATAACAAAATTTAAAAAAAGGTACAACAGTCTTAGCAGACCGGTCTCTGAGCTGAGAAAAATTCAATCACGCACCTGGACAAGCAATAAATCAGGCTCTCCATGGAAATAATAGCCCGCCAGTCGATAAACCGATCATCTCCGAGGTAAATAAAGCACAGTCGCCAAGAAGCCGAAAGAAAGAAAATATCGCAACAGGAAAACGAATTTGGCGGGGCCATCGAAGTTCTATTCCCTTCAAATTGCCACTCTGCGCGTAAAATCACGTTCGGTGTACAGCGAGCGTGGTACGCCGAACGCTTCTTCGTTGAAGAGAGGCCGCCTTCGAAAAGCGAGGCACCCGGAGCAGCGTGTGTTCGAGCGTGTTGGGCGCCGCGTGCGGTGTACACGCGGGAACGCGGCGTAACGTGTCGCAAACAGACGTAATGTTCGCGAACAAACTCGACCGTTCGAGCGGGCCAGCGCGTAGGTTAGGCGCCGTCTGGTCGGTTCCGGGATTTCGGAACGCTGTCGGACCCCTTTTAGCCCGTTGCCTAAGGTGGGGCCGTTTCTCCGCAGGCGAGTAGTGGCCTGATTCCTCGGAACGGCCAGCTGTTAACCTTTTAGGCACGACGCGCCACTATAGTGGCTTCCGCGGATGTCATCTCTGAACGACGCGCTGCTATAGTGGCTTTCGCGGATGTCATCTCTCTGAACGACGCGCCACTATAGTGGCTTTCGCGGATGCCACCTCTCTGAACGACGCGCCACTATAGTGGCTTTCGCGGATGCCACCTCTCTGAACGACGCGCCACTATAGTGGCTTTCGCGGATGCCACCTCTCTGAACGACGCGCCACTATAGTGGCTTTCGCGGATGCCACCTCTCTGAACGACGCGCCACTATAGTGGCTTTCGCGGATGCCACCTCTCTGAACGACGCGCCACTATAGTGGCTTTCGCGGATGCCACCTCTCTGAACGACGCGCCACTATAGTGGCTTTCGCGGATGCCATCTCTCTGAACGACGCGCCACTATAGTAGCTTTCGCAGATGTCATCTCTCTGATCGACGCGCCACTATAGTGGCTTTAGCGGATGTCATCTCTCTGAACGACGCGCCGCTATAGTGGCTTACTCTAGTAGCTCACTCGGTCATCGTTTGAATCAAATAATCATCTTCATATGCATTGTTTCACACTTCTTTTGTCTTCACATCGATTTACAATATACAGACTTATCTTAACAATACAACTGTTAACAATATAACTGTATCTTAACAATATACAGACAGAATATACAGACACTCTGTACAGTACATATCAGACTCTGCCGTCCAGAGAAATAACCTCGCGCAGAATTCAGCCGTGCCTAAAAGGTTAAAGGGACGCGGATTCTGCTCGGGAACAGATCCGAAACTATCCGGCGGGAACGCACCCACGCACCCCGCGGTGTTCCCGCGTCGATCCGGCAATCGATATCGCCTTCGGCCGGCCTCTCTCGAGCTTCGAGTCGGAGTTCGGCTTCCAAGGAGTTCCGCCGAGTCGTTCGGACCGCGGCCGTTCTTCGGTGGCTCGATAATTGAATCCGGGATTCTTGCGGGTCGTTCTGAATAATTAGCGTTAACTGTTACGGCCACGGTCCCTTTCTTGGACCCGGCCGCCGTCGCCGCGCGACTCCCGCTAATGCTGATGACGCTCGTTTTGTTCTTCGGCTCGCGGATCCCGTGTCGTAGCTCTCCGCCGTTTTTTGTTGCTGCCTCCTTTAACGCCGCGATATCGCCCGCCGAGCACGGAACAGCTTAACGAGACCCGTTCCACTTTGTTAACAATTTGCTGCGGCAAATAAATACAATTACGCCGGGCGTTTTACCCGCCGTTTTCTCTGAATCATTACACCGTTCTGTTGCTTCCGTTCGAATCGCTTTCGCGCGATAACGCTTGCATGCTCCATCGATTACACGGCTCCGAAGCGCTCGGCCGCTTTTTTTCTTTCTTGCTCGATCGTTGCCTCTTCTTTTTTTTGTAGCGGGCTTTTATCGAATGTACATATATTTACGTTACGTCGATTTACCGGGGCCCGGGAAAGTATTTTAACGCTTCGGGAGAGCGTCGGTTGTCGGACCGTTCGAATCTCGAGCGAAAGAATCGTGCGAGGGTGCGTCCGTTTTTTGGACGAGCTTTCTCGTTCGCAACAGTCTTGGGAGGACATTTGTCTTCGATTTACGGTGGATTCTTCATAATTGATGCCTAGATTGTAGAAATGGATAATTTGGGAAGAGGAGGTACGATTATTCGATATTTTTATAGTTACCGATTGCTAACAGCTATGAAAACGAGCCGCGAGGCTCCTCTTCTCAAATTGTCCATTTTTTTGCACAATCTGATCTTTCCTCTTGGAGGAAAATTCACCTAAATTGCAGTGGTAGGAGAGCTTCAAGCTTTGGTGGGGTGAAAAAAATTGGAAAAAAATTCTATAATTTTTTTAAATTGTCTTCAGAAATAAATTTGAAACCGTCAATACGTCCGTGTGATTCGTTCTTCCACAACTACCCTCGTGGCCAAAAAAAGGAAAACTTTCCTTTTGTAAATCATTGAACAGTGAAATCGTCAGTTCAATTAGCAGACTGCTGATTACGTGAATTCATGACAGAAGTAAATAGATCAAACGCAAACCGGTAAAATCGAAGGATCATGAAAACAATTGTTACATTAGTTATCATTTTATTTAGTATACAATATTACTAATTACACTATTATAACACTAGTTATCATTTTATTAAAATTATTACAAGTATTATTCGAACGATTATCGAAGCACGAAGTAAAAACGTCTACGTGGCTTCTTCCAACAAGTTCGTACAATTTTTAATTCGCTCGAACACCGGCAGTCCGCTAATTAGGTTCAAGGTGTCCTACTCTGCGAAATGCCGGGTGTCCCCGGTTCGGTAGATCGGCGAGCACATTTGTCAGAGACGCGGCCCCTAATTATTTTGTGCGCCGCGGCACCGGTTGCGTGTCGTTACTAAGCATAATTTGCGAATGATGTATCCCGCAGGTGGTAGAATTGACCACGCGCATCACTATAACAACGCTTATCGAGCACTGGACGAAACACTGGCGTTGGAGGAAGCGGTGAGGGCCGTAATGAAGGAAGTCGACCTGTCGGAAACGCTACTCGTCGTGACGGCAGATCACTCGCACGTGCTTACACTCGGCGGTCTCGCAACGCACCGTGGGAATCCTATATTCGGTAAGTGACACGATAAACCACTGTCTGATGTAGCACCCATCTTCCATCAAGTGTACCGCGATATTAACAGATACAAGCGCGTTTTAATGCCCGCGGCGTGTCGTTGCGTCGCGCGGCGAGTTCGCGCCCGTCAAAGGAGCCCGTTAAAGAGAAAATCCGCCGGCGGTAATTTACCGGAGATAATATCGAAAACAAGCATTATCGCGGCATCTTTCGCGCTGATTCGAATTAGGCGCGGATTATGTAGCCAACTAATTTTTCTTGGTCGTAAAAGAATTTCTCCTTTATGAGAAATAAATCGGGATTCCCTTCGATGTCGCGTGCACGGAATGCGGTAGAAATTTCAGCTGGAAAAACTTTACTATCGTTCGAGTTGTTGCAATTTTAGGGATAATTATTGGCGCACGACGTTTATCTGAAATATTACCGGTAATTGCTTTTCGCCCGAATGCCCTCCCTTAACGAGATTTCCGAAAAAATTCGAATCCTTTTCACTCTTTAACCAGCGTTCCGACAAAATCATCGACGAATTCCTTTGATTTGCGTTTCGCGCGTTATTTTGTGCAGCGGAGCGCGGCCAGGTAGCCGATTAACGAGGTTCCCGCAGAAATTGTGGTCGAATTCTTTTACTTTGTGCTTCATAAATCGTGTTTACGATACCGTGCGGCAAGTTGGCTCATTAGCCGGCCCTCCGCGAGGCTCGCGGTCGAATTATTTGCTCCGCGTTTCACGAATTACATATCTGTCTAATGTATTTTATCGCTCGTCGGGACGCTCGATATTTCCTCTCTTAAAACGTGTCACCGCATTGTAAACGTAACACGCGATATTTTCTCTTAAAAAGTATATTATTACGCGACGAACAGAACGCGCGATATTTTCTCTTAAAAACTAGAACCGCGCGCGATAAACACAAGCGCAGGAAATTTTGCTTTCTGTTCGAATCGCAATTCTTTCGTCGAACTTCGAGGAGCGAACGAAATAAAACGAGGCGCTCGTTAATATCGTTAAGGATTTAATTTTCATCCGGCGTCGATCCAGCGGATCGGACGCGCGGGTAAATCGTTCCGTGAACGATTCCACGGCTCCGAGGATCATCCCTCGAAATACAGTCGCGGTAAACGCCAAGGATCGTACCTGGCACGGAATATTCCGCGGTACGCCTTCCAATATCGTGCCTCTTTATTAACCTCGTTACTTCTTTGATTTCCTTTTTCCACCGTAGGAAAATGTAAAAGCAGGCCGAAGACGAACACGTCGTTCGTCGTCGTCGTCGTCGTCCGTGCACGTCGAGCGGAAGTCCGTCGATATAATTGACATTTTTCCCATATTTCTCTCCGCGTACGTTCTGCAAAAAAAATTCTCCATTCTCGGTGTATTAAATCGACGAAAACCCGGCCGGCACAGCCGGAAAGAGAGAAATCCACGATAATCGGTGGGCGCAGCGGAGACGGAGAGAACGGATTCGTTATACACGGTTGCTACGGACCGACAAGGCAATTATAGAGAGCAGGGATCACGATTCTGCGATCGAATGCTCGCGTCTATTGTCGGCCGAATCTATCAGATGCTGGACGATAACGACGCGAGATTATAAACTTCCGAGGCTGAATCAAAGAGTGGAGTTACGTATCGAGCCATGACGAATACCTCGCCGAAATGTCCGCGGAAAATCGGACACGCACGGAGCACCTGCATTTTTAGCCAGCTGGGATATTATTCGAATAAACGATTTGATAAAATGATCGTCGAAATGGAACATTATTTTAGCTGGTTGCGTGTTATTGGAGGATTTAATCGATTTAAATGATTTCTATTTTTGTTCAATTAATACTTTATATCTGTAATTAATATTTTTATTTTTAGTTCATATTTATTTAATATTTTATTTGATTGTTATAAGTGATCTTACCTGGTTGCTTATTATTGGAGGATTTAATCGATTTAAATGATTTCTATTTTTATTTAATTAATATCTTCTATCTTTGATTAATATTTTTATTTTTGGTTAATATTTATTTAATATTTTATTTAATTATTATAAGTAATCTTACCTGGTTGCATGTTATTGGAGGATTTAATCGATTTAAATGATTTCTATTTTTATTTAATTAATATCTTCTATCTTTGATTAATATTTTTATTTTTGGTTAATATTTATTTAATATTTTATTTAATTATTATAAGTAATCTTACCTGGTTGCATGTTATTGGAGGATTTAATCGATTTAAATGATTTCTATTTTTATTTAATTAATATCTTCTATCTTTGATTAATATTTTTATTTTTAGTTAATATTTATCTAATATTTTATTTAACTATTATAAATATGTTCCGTTATAAATATATTATGTATATGTAAAACATTTATATATTAATAAATGACTTGTGAAGCTTTATTACGTTGATATTAAATTTGATCAATTTACTTAAATTTCATAAAATTGACTTACAGAATTTCATAATTTTCGTTCTTCTGTCGAACAAAATTCATTTGAAAATACTTTGTTCGAACGATGTAGAAACGATCCAGTTTTCATTCTTTGTCCAATCCGAGTAACTTTTTCATAAGTTGTCTAGAATTTCAACCGTTAGTATGGACTGTTTGCAGTCGTGTATACAACGGTGAACTGTAGCCGGAGGCTATTTAAAATCTGACCTAGAAACTAAGAACCAATGTTGTTCCACAGTCTACAAAGTAAAACTACATTACGTTCAATTATAAATGCACATTTACGTGTGAACATGGTTTCTGGTAAGGTACCATGGAATTTTTCAAATACTTGCAAACAGTGCAATGAAAATTCATTCGTGTTAAATGGGTGACATGCAACTGTTTACAGAATCTTCAAAATGGTTGCATTTCCTGTTTTCTTCAATTGTACACTCATCAATTTATTAATCTAGAGCATTGAACAAGCCACGTGATGAAGAATTTTAAAAATGATTTTAAAATTTATTAAGGAAAAGTATGAAGATGTTTTACGAAAAAGTTTTACCAAAAAGTTTGAATAAATAAAAAGCAGATATCTGAAACGAATAAACATTATATACTCTTCGAAGAATATGTTACACGTTTTCATAGTTCTCAAAACATATTCTTAATTTTATGTTTACAGTCAGAAATTGCTTTATCATTATTGAATCACTATATGTTTCTTAAGGCGAAAGAAAAGTATAAACGTGACGTCGCGTGCTTCTTTAATTGTTACAAATTATTCATTGTATTTTCTTTAGACACTTATTCGATATTTTCCGAGTGCCCGTTTGCCACTAATTAATAGCTCGCTAATTTTTGCAACCGCTTCCGTACGAGCATCACACGTTAAATATCGATTCAAGAAAATTTGTTTGCTCGTTGAAACAAGTATCGTTTGTCCGATGAGACTCCACGGTTCATTAAGAGCAGTATTAAAACCGGCTAAAATCCAATTTTCTTCGGCAATTTCTAGAATCGGGACACCCTGCCTGTCCTTGATTAAATTAAATCGCTGGACAATGCGAAGCGCATTTTCCGAACTGAATCCCCGAGCAGCAAAGCTTCTCCATTCACGAATCGAGTTATGATTCTGGAACGGAGTGCCGTAAAAGCTTATACCGGATTCCGCTAACGATTTGAATCGTTTCTTCCTTGTTTTCTTTTTTTTCTTTTTTTTTTCTTTTTTTTTGTCAACCCGGTCCTCGTTGCATTGTATCCTCGGCGTCTTTTTTTTCATCATCCCGTTGACGCGCTGCATTCTTCGTTAAAACGATTCCGTCGCAATCGCTTCCTGGAATTTCGTTAAAAACTGCCGCACGTGGCGATTCATTATGAGGAGAACGATCGGACACGCCATTTCATGGCGTTCCGTCGTCGACGATGAAGCTAGTTCCTCGGCGATCCTGATTCCGTAACATTCGCTTCCACCGCTTGATTTTGTAATTCCGATTTTTCGCGATTTTTTTCTCTCGACGATTCGACTCAACAGACCCCTTTGGAAAATCCGGTCGAGATCGAGATCCACATCCGGGTCGAGGATCGAAGAATTTTCTGGCAATAAATCAGCGCCGCTTACGTTGCGGTCGCCGCAGCGGGGATTCCAGGGCGCTCAACTTTGCAACTTTCAACCTGCTACAAAATAGCTCCACTCTCAATTTGCCGGCAAAATTAAAATTTTTCGACGCTCTTTATAACCGCTAAGCGAATCTGACAGAAATTCCTGTAACTCATTACGAAACTGCAAACGGGTTTTTCTTTCTGCAGCCTCGGTTTTTTGAAAACTTTCATTCAGAAGGAGAAGGCGAAATGTTTGACTTCTCGAAGCTGTTCTGCTTTGAAAGAATTTTTATGGGAAGTAGCAGAGTTTATGCGGAATCTGAGTTTTATCAATGTATGTATCTGTTAGCGTTACATGAACTTCCTCGAGTACTTCTTTTATTCCCAATAGGAGGGAAACGATTTTTACAGCCGTTTCAGAAGTTTCGTGAAATTAAAGTTGAAAATTGAGATGAATAATAGTGATATCGAATTTGTAGAATTTATACTGGTTTTGTATCATTTATTTAGGATTTATAGAATTTGTATAAAAATTGCAGTTTATGTAGGATTTATATAATTTGTATACAATTTGTGTCATCTGTATAGAATTCATGCAGTGTATATATGATTTATACAATTTACATAGAATTTATATAACTTATCATTATATATATTTAATTATTAAATATAATAATTAAATATCAATTACTCTATATGATAATTAAATATCAATTATTAAATATAATAATTAAATATACTTGCAAGCGAGATATTAAGTTCTAATAAAGGAAACGATGTTCTAGGACCTTCAAATTATACGCTCAAATTTTTGAGTCCGAATAACACTGCTAGCTTTCGACTGGCATTTTTTTGAAAATGACACAAGCGCTTCGCACAGGAAACGTGACAGCGAAGAGCAAAATAATCAATCGAATTAAGGACGAAATTGCTGTCGCCTTTCAATCACTATTAAAAGAATTC